TAAAATACTCTGTCTAACCATGTGTTTATCATAGACCTTTCATACAATTTCTTCTTTTCTGAAAACTTCTTACGTAATTATAAGAAAAACTTAGGTCATTTCTATCTTCCACCAATCGTCCACAATTTTCTGATCCGAATGAAAGTTTCTGGTGAAACCGGAAATGGTATGATAAGTGAAACTGGTTTCTAGTTTGATATTCGAAAGGACTTGGCTCGGCTCGAGAAGGACCAGCTTGTTCCTTTTGCCGCTTTCGATTCGATTTCTTCAGCTCCGTTCGTATGGGAACTGCTCGAGAGAAAAAAGCAGATGTGATTGAAGAGACTATAGTATCACGATAGTATTTACGAAGAATGGGCTGTCGCGATTTCGCTAATGTGCGCAGTCGATTTGCCTCGTTTCCAGCTTGTACAGAAATAGCGACGACGTTTTCGAGCGCTATTAGGGGATTGAGAAAGGTCGGGATCTTCCCGGTTCTTCACGTTCATGGGACCCCGAGTTTCACGGCGCGTTTGAGAAAATTCACGTAACCGATTACGAAATTTCTCGCTCGCGTTTGCGAACTCCAGTCATCTGATATGTTCCCATTTCATTCCCACGAGGATCTTTTCGAGTTGCACCAAAATATGGAACGTAAAGTAGACGACACAGTGACTTGAAACCTTTGAAATTTCATTTTCTAGTCGCTGAAACACGAGGTTCGATCGTACAAATACCAAACTGTTCATTACTCAATGCAACTCACTGGCCTTGAAATAATTATATATTAAAAATTGTAACCTTTAATTTCATATAGCTGCACAAGGTGAGAATCTTTCGATACAAAGACGTGTAACAGAGACTGCAGAGAACACAAACAGAAGTGAACAGAATCAAATTGGCAGACGTAGAAAATTAATGTGAAATTAGCAGTTAATTACCGACAAAACAACCAAATTGGACTGGTAACCTAAGTATATTATTCTTGAAAAAAGAATCCAATGGTGATTGAGCAAATTTTCCTATGGCAATCTAGAAAACAAATCTGAACATCTCTACGAGGAAACATCTTCTTCCTCGACATTTCGCAAAGAATGAATTCTACGATCGCCATTCGTGGTATCTCTCAAAGATTCTTCCGGCGCGGCGCGTTTATTTAAAGCCGCTTAAAATTGCATAAATAGTAAATCCGTAAACACAGAGTCCACTGCCAAGAGCGATTATTAGAAACGATAAATTCACACGAACACGTCTTAGTTCGTGTCTTGCCGAAACATCGCGGATTCGAGTTAATTGAAACCCGTTGTTCGGTACTTTTTCTCTCGTTTCTCAGCGGCGTGCCGATGAAATTGCGCCGAGAATAGCGAATCGGCTCGAGGGACTCGAGTTCGAGTTGAAGATGGCAGTTTGAACAACTTGGGCCTTGCGACGATTCCAAGAAACAGCTCCTCGACCTATATTTCGTCGTCAAAAAAGAAAAGCATTCATCGAAGAGAGGCTCTTCATTTAACGGATCGTTTGAACGTTCGATGTTCAATCGTTTGATTAATCAACTACCTCCGTATCTCTCGATCGTGACTTTTACGACTCTGATAAAAAAAAAAGTTGCAACCCATAGAAACTAGGGTTCCACAAATCACATGTGTTTTTTTTCGAGCTATTAAGATTAAGATAATTAAACGATTAAGAAAGATTTTGAAATTTATTTTAGTCAAAAAATTGCGATTTGAAGCGGTGTGTATAGATGACAAATAAAGATCTAAAAATCGAAAGATTCGAGATTGGAAATTTTGTTTGATCGGATCAGATTTGGTTACGTAAGGCGTACGAAACGTGCATGATCCGGAAAAGAGAAGCTTCCGCCTATTTATAACGGCTAACAATCACGGAAAGTGAAAATCATTGTGTGCCGACGTATACAGCAATTTCCAACTTGGCAGCGTTGAATTAACTCGAGTGGAATGAGTTATGAATAGCTTCGAAATTATTTTAAATTCGAAGACTTATCTGTTGTGTCGAATAATTGAAGTTAGACCAAGCAAATTCGATTGAAATACAGGGGAAAATGGCATTTTTCAAAGGGGAAGAGAAAATACAAACAAAAGCACGTCGGGGAAAATAGAAAAACTGAGGCGATGACTCTCGAAACGAAGGAAGCTCGAAGCAAGGGAATGTTTATAGTTACCACCCACGACGAGATTCTATATCTACTCGGATGAGTAATCTCGCCAGGCAGCTCGATGAAATAATCGATGCATCGAGACCGTTCGATTACCCCTTGCCTTTGTTTTA